GACAAAAATTCTGTCACAGGAGGTCAAGAAGTAATTTATTTACTGTGAAGGTGGATTCATTCTGAGATCCAAACTATCTACACTCTACACTGCAGTAGCAAAATATCCCCATTTATTTCTGCAGTCACTATCAAAGAAGGATACACTATTTTCCTTGTCTTCCATATTTAAGACAATCATTATAGAAGTCCAAAATGCTTCAAGAAGCAAATGTAGCATGGTACCGTATTCTAAAGATATCTCTGAAACAGTATTGTTGGACTCAGTGATATTTTGTAATGTTCATATAATTTTATTGAACTAAGCAGCTTTGAAGCTTATCAGGCACTGCCCAACAAAGTATTTAGTCAAAAAAAATTTATGAACTTCTTAAACTTTGAGCTAGTAGCTCAATATTCTATACAATGAAAATTGTCAAATATTCCACAGTTTAAATTTTCAAGCCAACTCTTGCTGGCTCCCTGTACATTAAAACAAAACAAAACAAAACAAAACAAAACAAAACAAAACAAACAAGAAAATTATTAACAAAAAGTAATCGCCAGGAAGAATATCCTTAGGGAAAAGAAATTAAAAAAAAAAAAGAAGATAAAAAAACCAAGAAAAACAAGCTTAATCTGTAGATATGCTTGAGAGAAGACTACAGCCTAAAGAAAATTCAGTATTGCATAGCATAGTCTAAAAATTTAGCTTTGAGCGAACAGAAAAGGAAAAAACGAAGCAGTTTGGTATTGACAGTTTCCATCAATGACAGTTAGTCATCCAGTACTATGTACATTATTATACACTGTATGCCATTGAAAATCCTGTTTTCTTCAGTCTTTAATATATTCTTAAAACAGGATTCTTAATCATCTAAACAAAACACTTCCTGGCACTTTGCTATTACAATTACTCTGAGCAACATACTGTAACTGAAGTCCTTTTAAAGTGTCCCTTAGAAATGAAAGTGCCACTCTGCTACATATCATTCACCAGAAACCAAAACAGAACCACAAGGCTGTATGTCTGGATCCACTGAGTGCAGCAACACCATTCCAAGTCAGATTATGACCACGAAATTCCAATAACTGAATGACACAGACCTCTTATACCTTGTGTCTGCATAATCCAATGTTCTAGCTGGTAAAGCTTCAGAAGTGGTCGTAAACAAGCACCATGCTTAAAGGCCTCTATGTCCCTGCAGGGAGATCAGGTTTGGATTTTTCTCTTGTGTTTTTCTTTTATAATTACAAAAAAAAAAAAAAAAAGCACTTTAGATTACAAACATACATTCACAGCATAACACTGTGATCTCTCCCACTGCAGTTGTGAAGGAAATCTTTAGTTCCATCTGAAGACAAATAGCTTTGATACTACAAATTCTTGAGTAAAGCTGAAAGGAGCCTTTTCTCTCCAGAGGCCTCAACGTTGCCAAATAATTTCTTTAAAAAAACCAACAAACAACCCAGAGTATCAGGATCTTCATCGCCTCTGCTGTGCATATACTGGGTAGGCTAGCGTGACATTGAGAGAGTCATTGTGCTGCACAAGTGACGTGTGTTGGTAATGTAGCACCAGTTCTTTGAGCGAGTTGTACAAGTTATATGGCTCTGCAAATCCATACCCAGTAGGTGTTTTGTTTATCACACAGTGCTTTACTTCGCCATCCACCCTAAAAAAAATCAAAACAAAACCAAACAATTTTTAGTTTTTGAGTACAGTAAAATTAAGATAGAAAATAAGGTATTAGCAATACATCTTAAGATGCTAGTCAGTACATAGAATTCCTCTGTTTTGTGGTGGGATAATGGTAAAAAAGTATGTTTAGTCCAAATTTGTGAATGTCATCCTAGCTTAGGGAGGAATGAGATAGGCAGGACTTAGCAGCTGCACAGAAAGGAGAGCACACATATTTTGGTTTCCCCTCTGAGTGAGGCTCCTCTGTGGAAGTGGCACAGGTTGGAGCTGTGTAGGAAATGGAGCAGCAATAAGAATGCTCAGGAGCCCCTGAGCTGCTACTAAGCCAAAAGGTCCAAGAGGAATTGTGCATTTGCAAGTGACCATCTGCCCCCAGCTGAAGGTAGGCCCTTGCATGTGGGTTTTATCATTCACAAGTTAGGGTACATACACAACAGAGCAGGCATAGCAGCCTTGTTTGCTGCTCTCTCGAACAAGGAATGTTCCATCTCGTTTTCCCCGCAGCAGATTTTCAGCTTGGCTTCTATTGATATTTCCCACATTCCACGTTCTCTCGTCATGATGGGGCAAGTCCTCATCATCTTCTACCATAGAGTATTGGCTGTTGGAAATCAAAAATATGTTTGTGAAACACAGAACAAAGTCCACTAATTAAGTAATCTTTATTCAGTATTACAGTGGTTAGCAGGATACCTCCCAGGCAAAACTGGGGATTTAAACTAAGTAATACTGCACCATTTAAACCACTGGATAAAAGTAAAATATAAGCTCTGTTTCTTATTTCTTTGAAACGTAAATTTTAGGAAGAATACAAAAAGATGATGCGTTATTTTTCAGAATATGCTGTGAGAACTTTAGTACTTCTGTCATTGCTCACTGTTTTGGTAAATAGCAAGCCCAACAAAATCAGTACTCTCTGAGTCAGCTTCATTTCCAAAGATCAGAACACTTGGTCAGCAGTGAAAAATCATGCAATGTATCAACTGCAGCTGCTCCTAGAGAACCTCTGAGCAGTTGCACAGGGAGGCATTAATTATTTATAGGGGAATGGCTTTGTGAAAAGGTGCAAGAAAACAGTAGAGTGCTTTCTCTCTCCCTCTCTTCTCTGCCCCTCCTGCCCCTTATAAGGAGATTGTGAAAATAGCATGCAATACATGCTTCTCTACTAAATCAGCCACCAACTATAAAGCTGATTCAGAGTTACAGACAACCTTCTAAGCTAGAGCCACCATGAAAAAAGAAGCATCTGGTTCAGCTGTGTGGTTATCACCTTGGAATTCTGCAGTTGCAGAGCTCCCCAATCCCACAGTCTGCAGTGGTTGGCCCTGCCTCTCCTGTTCAGCTTGCAGTAAGTCTGTGTTAGGCTAATGCATTTATTCTCTCTGTAATAGGCTTTTAATTAGTTTTTCTTGGTCTAAGAAAAGATAACTTCTCACTCATCCATGGTTCTGTTTTTCTGAAGATTGTCAAAGTAGTCTACAGAAACCAGCAATCGCACAATTCTATTTTTCATAAAGAGAAAAGGTTCTTTTTGTTTCAGATAACACTATCTCCAGGTCCCTTATCCCATCCCTCTTTTGACCTGCATGACATTCACACACATTCAGTAGTAGCTCTGTTTTCAACCAGCATTTAGAGAAAGGAATTCTTGTTTTCATCCTGCTTATTATATTGGGGAATTTTTTTCTGCACTACAACTTCAGAAGAAAAGCCATATTCTAAAAGTTTAATTTTTCAGCAGTTATCAGACTTGCCAGCAAGGAGTATCAGAGTGAGAGAAAATTAAGATTTTCTTCAAACAGTTTGATTACTATTTTGATGCTACATTAAACTCACAGAGTGTTCTTTGTCTACTGTTTAAGTGATAGGAACACTAGTGGGAACAGGTGCCTACCTATTTTACAATATCTAATCTTTGCTAAGACTGAGAAACCAACATGGCTTTAAAACATGTATGTCATTTTATCTCCTGCTACTACCACAGTGATAAGCACAATTTCCAGGATAACACTAAGAATTTCTTTATTAACAATAAACCAAGCCAAATGAAAATAGATATGGACAAGGCCAGAATGCAAGGCAGAATCCACTACAGTCATTGTCAGTCTGCTGCTTTCATATTATATTCAATCAGGCAACATAAAAGGGATGCATAAGAAACTACATAGGCAGAAAATGTTGATACAAATATTACTGAGACAATTTTGATTTTTCATTTGTTCATTTTTCACTGTTACTGTGCTTCAGATATTATTTTGTGTCTTGCTTTTGTTTAAATTTAGCCTATGTTTACACAACCCAAGCACTTTTTGCCTTTTTTTCCCAGGAATGAAATGAAATGTATTCATCAGCCTAGCCTCTGTCAGAACCTACAGTAAACTAAACTGAAAGGACAGAATACTACCCTGCCATTTTCCAGAAAAACAAATCAGACCACAAAACTACAGGATATTCTTCAGCATATACAAATTTTTCATCTCCAACCACAATGTGACACAATGAAGTGGGTACCCCAATACTGGATAACATCATGGGACCCACAGATGAGATTTGGAAAAAGCCTGCTTATGCCTAAGAGACCTTCTGAATAATTTATCCATCCATATGACATCTCTCTAAAATACTAACACTTTATGAACTTAACTTTGCTGGGAAGATAAAAGACATAGGTTACATTTCAGTGCTTTGCTACAGTAACTTGAACATGCACTTAGCTGAAAACAGGATGAGAGCAGAGGGTGAGACAGTATCCTTTCTAATACTTGCATTATGTAGGCTGTCATGGCTTAATAGTATGCATTGTTACTGAAGACCTAGGCTTGAGATTTACTCTTTGTGGTCCAAGACTTAAATATGCCTTATCTCACTTCTGTATTTAGGTGATTTGAACAACCAGAAATATCTAAATCTTTCAATACTTACTCTTCTGCATTTTCATTTCCAAGCCATTCATTTAGCTTCTTTTGCCGAACGCCTTTTTGAGTCAGCCACCTGGACAATAATTGCAAATGAAATTAATTTTTAGTCACAAAAGTTGGAAACCATTAAAAACCAAACAACTTAAAAATTTTTAATTCATGGTACTCACATCAAGTACTGATCTCTTGTCTTCCTCAGCTGTATGAGGTCTGGCTTAATGCTGTTCATACGCTTGTCTATCTCTCTATATTCAGCTGCTTGCTTTTTTAAGTCTTCTTCTAATCTACGCCTGCTGTCCACAATTTCACTTATCCGAGACTTCAGTTTTTCATAGTTGTGCATGATCCTAGATGGAACAATGTGGCAGGTTACACTCTGATTTCATAACTTTACAGTCTGCTATTTAAGGGTGTAGACTCCTAAGAGAACAGATTCTTTCTCTAGATATAGTTATACATTTTGCCAGTTCACGTCTACCCTATTCGAGGCTTCTTTGCTTACAGCTGAACAATTTAAAACTTGCCATCTTGCTTCAATTTTAGGCAGACCTACACTTGGCATTGTTTTTTCAAATATCATACAATTTGGGACTCAAAATCAAATACTGACCTTTGTATTTCTTTTTCATTTCCTTCCCGTTTAAATTTTTCAATGTATTCCTTACTGTATCTTTCCTGTGTTTGGCACTGCTCTTCAAATATTTTTATTGTTTCATTAAATGCCTCAATGGCTGTTCTTTTCATTTGAATTTCCTGAAAATAAAATAATTGTTATTGCAGTTGTTATCAGATAAAGGGGAAGATTTATTGGCTTGTATCACAGAAACACTTCAGGATATTGTAGAAGAATTTCATCTCAATATCCCTTCACCTAAACATATTTTGTCTGCTGAGCCTCATGGCATAGAGACAACAGGCCTGTGCAAAAGGTTACCATGATAAGATTTCCATGATGAGGTTTATCAAGAAATAGAACTGCTAAAAAAAGAATCACGTACAATCTTTGCTTTGTATAAATAAATTGATGCTTAGAACCTTATGGCAGTGCACTTTGCCCTTAGTATGAACTCAAGTCATTAGAGGCACACCTGGCTTTCTGAAATAAAGGCAGCCTTGACAGGTTTCAGGAGGTTAGCTGGTTTACCCTCCTGCCCCTACATACATAGTTGGTAGCCAGGTCTTAAGTAATAGTTCAAGTTGGCAGCAATTCTCCAATTTTCTTCAATTCTTTTTAGGTGTATTTCCTGCACACTTTTAAGAAGCAGTCTTGATTCTGGGACTTCAAAACTGGACTTTCAGTGGCACTTCAAGGCATTGCTAATAATTGATTAAGCTGAAAGAGGCAGCTTTTCATTCCTGCATTTCGTCTACACATGTCATCTCTTTATCCTGTATAGGTAAACCAGACGCTTCAATAACTCAAAACAAAATGCAATGCTTCCCTGGAAATGTGCCTTAAAAACTGTAAATCAGCTTGATGAGGTCAGTATGCAGAAGTGGTGTAAATAAAGACAGTTATGTACTTGCTTTGGATGGAGCTGTCAGACTTGGGCAGAGGGTGGCTTAGTTTACAGGTGGTGGCTGTTCAAACATGAGTAAGCAATTGCACTGTTCTGAGCAAGCACATCAGGGCAATGCAGTGGTGGTGGAAGAAAGGAGTAGGAAGATGACAATACAAATTCACAATAATATTCTTCAAAATCTGCAAAGTTTTCCATTCTCCCTTTAGTTCAAATCCAGCTTACCTGAGATGTTCTTGTGTAGTCTTCATAGAGTCTGTCATATTCTCTGCTTTTTTCTTGGAACTGGGTATTATATTCATGTAGCTTCTTTCCTACTGCTTCAATGCTATCCTCTTTTACAACTTGATCCTGGAATGATGAGCAGAAAGAAAGATATTCTGTAAGGAAACAATTATATTGCCCAGTTTTTCTGGATAAAACTGCTTAAAATGCTTAGATAATTACATGGAAATGTGACTCCTCTTTCACCAATATGGAGATACACTAAATGCATAATATGCAAATGAGATATTAATTACAAAAAGGAATTTTGCATTGCAAGTGTTTAGCTTTATACTGAAAATTACATATTTCACCACTGAGAGGGATAATTATTAATATGTTTATTTCCTAACAGTGCATCTGCATTATTTAAACTTTTAAATATTTACATGCAAAGCATGGAATTGATTTTAAACAAAAATGTCAGGTTTTGTACCCACATGATTTTTTTGAACAGTAACAGAGCTGAAGTTTTTCATGTTTGGCAATAATTTCTCTGTTTTTAAGTGAAATACAAATAAAATAAACTAAATTACCTGCTGGTACTTAGATACTGGATAGAGTAATTTTACATCCAGTTTAGGATTATACTGGGCTAGAGATTCATTCCGGTAGTGGTTTATTAGCTCGACCACAGAGTTGAATGTTAATGGGTCAGAGAAGCCGTATTTTCCATCTCGGTGAAAAATTTTGATTAATTTGTTATTTCCTCCTTTCCTGCAAATAAAGTATATTGAAAAGTTAGTCATGCTTCAAGTACTATTTCCTGAAGAATACCCTGCATTAAGAGCAGTTGTTGCATTTTACTATCAAGTATTACAGATCCAGTGTAACTAGTCTTACCTCAGTGTCAGTGTATAGTCCCCATGCATTTTGGTTGAAGCATCTCGTACCAAAAAGGTACCATCAGCTGTGTCTCTAAGCTTCTCATTCACTTCTTCTCTAAAATGAAAGCAAAAGTAACCAACATTTCAATCAGTTCTCACACACTTGTTCTTCCACAGTGCTCTAAAGTCAAAATCAAATGTTTTGAAGTAAGTGTGTTTTAGAAGCCTTCTATGTCTCCTTATTAATATATTACCTTATTTAACATTTAGAGAGCAAGTGGGATAAAAAATGGCATACTCTGTGCTCTCACTACTGGACAAAATTATTATTCATACAAAGCTCTTTCTGCTTGTTCATACAAGCCTATGCAAGTGGAGCAGTCAGTGCTGCTCTAATATAGCTATATATAGTACAGATAAAAATGTTGCTAATATATGGCACTTGTTAGTCTGACTTGCTGACTATAGTGCCTACAGCTGAGGTTCTGAATGAAAGACAGGAACAAAATTCTTTCTTAGTGCAATCTTTTCATGCTAGCATTTCATATAAATCTTAAAGTAACAGAACAATCATTTTGCACACTACATTCTTAGTGACTGCCAGTAACTTTTTAGTCATATTTGGAATAAAACCAACTGTAATATGTTTATGGTGGAAACTATAATAAAATTGCTCTTAAAACTGTGAATTTTCTATACTCAAAGCCTAACACATATACAAAGAATAGCCCAGCAAAAACAGCACAAAGCTAAACATAAGAAATACATGTCTTGAGGTGATTTACCTTGAGATATCCCCCCAGTACCATTCAGCGTCTTGCAATGACATGTTGTTATTCATGCTATTGTTAGTTACGGTATTAGGTTTCGGTGGCTTAGGAGGCAGTGCTGCAAATGAAAGGGGGGCAGAAAAGTTGTAACTCACTGAAAACATTACCATATATTCCTTGAAATTACACATTATTACATAAATTTTAAAATTTTATGAGCGCGTTAAAAAAAGAACTGGTTACCAAGTAGAGTTGTCCATCATTAACAGAATTTAAAAGACACTACAGGAATCAAGAAATTTGAAAATAACTCAAAATAAAGTTTTACTGTTTCAAAAAATGATGCTATCTTGCAATACTATTTTAAGGAAAATATAACACCATACTCAACTCCTGCCCCTGTGAAGAAAGCATTTGAGAAAAAAAAAATCTGAAGTTTGTTTTTACCCTCTTTCACCATCTTTGGGTGAACACAAGTAATAAAACATGCCACTTTTTTTTTTTTTTATCCTTCTATGTAATGATCTTAGAGGAATGTTGCTATTTTCTTACCTAGAAGCTGAATAATAAAAGATGCAAACCCATAGCAATATACTGTAGAAGAAGCATCAGGATTTTGAAATCCTCAGCATTCTGTGCAATGATTTTCAAGAAAACCAAAAAAACAAACTCAACAGTTTAAGAAACCCGTCTGTGACCCAAATATCCGTTGTGTTAATCTTAGTATTCCACAGAATAAATTGTGTTCCAAATGCCAGGGCTGATTGAAAAAACACCCCCCCCCCCTCCTTTTTTCAATGTCAAAGCTGCATATGTATACCAGTGGGTGCCAGAGAAGATACTGCAGCACTGACTTAGTAACAAGAGGGACTACACTGAAATCAGGATTAAAAATCAACTCAGCTCTTTCAGTTCTCCAGTAAGTACAACATTCCTGTCCTGTATATTATGACCAGGCTGAAAAGACAATGTTTTTAAAGTTGCAAGGAATATCAGGATAGTGTAATACTTTCATATTATATGAAAAAATGATGCTACAACAGGCATTCAATTAGTATTGCTAGATTTTAAAAATGTTTTTTCCTTAAACAATCCAAGCCAATGATTTGGAATTACTGTTTCAGGAAATATGAGTGTTACTACAGCATCTCCTTTTAGGCACAGTGTGGAACAGAGAGAGCAAAAATAGTAATAAAAGAAATACAATTTTTACATGATAAAATAGCAGGACTAAAACTACATCTGACATAATAAAATCAAAACAGAAACAGGTCAATTCAGTAAAAATTCAATTAAGTAAGCAATCAGGTACTTTAACATGTTAAGATTCTAATTACTGCAACCATGCACTAATTCACAATTTTATTCTAATTTATGAAAAAAGGAAATCTATTTGTATCAATAACAAAGTAAAGAAATCCTACATATCCAGTAAGAATTTTTCAGCAGCTATTGTAAAGACCAAAATTAATTAAGTCTTCCATAATAAGACTGCAGTTTTACCTGGTGGATCCATTTCTATGTAAAACATCAAGTCTGTGCCATAATTTATATCTGTCTTAGGATACTCTATATCCAGTTCTTCCATATTCCAAACAGTATTGTACATTTGTATGAGTTTCACTGAGTAAGCTCAGATACAAGAAAAGAGTCAGGCTGTCTTTGTAATGGTGTCTTGGAATTCATTTTAAAACCTATAAGGGGCTGCACTGTAACCTATTACATCATAATCCTCAGCCAATCATGTCAAAATAATGTCAGCAAACCACTCCTGCTTTCTCATTTTTTTCCACATTTATCTTAAAACAATTTCAGTTTTAGGAAGAATCTCTATTTAGCAGAATTGCAATATAAAGCTGGTATTACATGCAAAAGGAGCAAGTGGACTCTCCTTGCCCATATTCCTGGCTCATTTTCCTGACTTTGCAGCATGGTACAGTCCAACCCTGGCAGGATGACAAAAGGCTGATATGCTGCAGCACGTAGCTCATAGACACAGGCGCACACAACACTCACACACAGGGCAGCTCCCTTCAGAAGCAGGTTGGTCACATCTCAGGCGCATTCTCCTGCTTAAATGCCTGAAGCTTGCCATTCAAAAATATTTAAAAATACTCTATAACTACTGCACATATTAGAGATGCATTAGAGAAGACCATGACTGTGTATGTATATCCATTACACACTCATTTTACACAAACACACAGAGAGATGTATATATCCACATAATGAAATATGGATTATATTTTTAAACTCTCCATACTTCTACTATTTTTATGGGCACATAGGTCTGATAGAGTTTATATTATGATATAAATGTGCTTACTGAAGAGATGTCTTCCTCTCTTGCTATTCAAATCAATCTATATTAATTAATTTTGAAATCCAAACCCCAAATACTGTAATCTTACATTCAGCTGATTCACTCAAACAATGGAAGAAAGTTGTAACTGAGCAAAATCTTCAAAAATGGTTTTGCTGTACATGAAAAAGGCTGTAAGGACAAAACAAGATTTAGTCTGCCTTTTCACACAGTTTCTCTGCCCTATTCTCATTGATGTATTTATCAAGTTAATTGTTTTTAAAAGCAAGAGTCTCTTGTCAGTGTCTCCTCTGCCCCTAGTCAGCGTCTCCTTTGCCCCTTTATGTCAGCAGCACCCTCCAACCATTTAGAAATATTCTATCTTAACTCTCCTCATCACTGACCATAACTCTCTCTGACCACTTGGAAGAAACATGGACAGAACAGACTATTAACTTCAGAGCAGAATGCTGTGTAACGCAATATACTTGCTATAATCTGTGGGGGGAGAAAACCAGAGACAAAAAATAACTACAACGAAAACTAGCTGTAGCAACGACCTGTGCCTTACACCTTAAGAAATTGTGGAACAGCTGAACTGTGCTCTTTCTCACATAAAAAAAAAAAAAAAAATTAACACAATTTGTATGATTTCCAAATATTTCACCCCTGCCCCCGGCCCCCCCTCACCCCCCCACTGTCTGTGCCTGTGAGCAGGTTACCCCTTTCAGACAAGCATCAGCACACAAGAGCATGTCTGGAGTACAAACATATACAAAAAGATGCAAGCTAGTTTGCTTTGTACATTAAGAAGCTTCATTTTGAAGTAGACTCTCCCCTTCCTGTTGAGGTAGATAAGCTCCAAAGATTCTTTCAATTTCCAAAATGAGAATCACCCCAGACACAAGTCTAAATGCTAAACTTTGGGGTTTAACCCATCTGCTCCCCAAACAATTGACTTGCCAAGGTAATTATTTAAATTAACTTACGAAGATTTCCTACAAAAACTGCATTGTTGTTTTTAGGTCTCATATGGGAGCAGTAATTTTTTTTATTCCATTGAATAAAGACTTTCAGGAAAAATTACTTCCCTAGAGTTTCACTGGTGGCCAAATCTAGGACTGAACAAACTTGTATAATCAGGTTAGTGCTCAGTTCAGACTAGCCTAGCCTGCAGGCAAGAAAAGACAGAGGAGGCAGATAGGCTATTACCCATTTCATATATAACCTGGAGAGGTACTGAAGTACTAGACTTGAATTCATGTAACTCTAAAACTTTTAAAGCTCCACCTGGTAATCAGTTGCAGTATAATACTTCCACAAGACGATGAAAAAAACACAGAAATTCAAAATCACTTACTTTGTAAATTATGCATCGCAAATGATCACTCTTGTAAAACAGTTGAAAATACAATCCAATATCGGTTTCCTCTTATAAAAATCTTGCTTAAAAATAAACCCGAAAATCTCCATTTACTAGGAAGCTTCTCTGAAGCAATGAAGAAAAAGCAATTGCTCTGCTTTCCAACCAATGTTCCATAAAACCCCCTAGTAGAGTTGTAATTGGAATTGAGAAAAGCCAAGCCTTCTCTCTCAACAGCTTAAACCTCTGTGCTGTGCAGAAGGTATCCACTTACTCTGGTTCATCATTAAAAGTGAACCTGACTTCAGTACTGTGAAAGAAAAAAAAGAAACCACCACCCTCAGTAGCTTGCACGTCCCTCTCAGATAAAGATCTCAGTTTCATGATTAACTTGGTAGGTTCAAATATTTGCTGAGCCAGGAAATTTCAGCTGGGGGATGGGAGCCATATTCAAAGTAAAAGTTGTCATCAACTAACAAGTGGCCAATGCAGAGCTAACTTTCTCATTTTAGCTAAGTCAATGAGAAGACCATTGTAAGAAGTCTTAAAATAGTCCCTATCACTGGCTGCTGCATGCAGCATTGAAGATGAGAAAAGCACCATGTGCAGCCAAATACAGGAAGTGGCTACTGCAGAAAAAAATAAAATAAAAATTTTCACTGAAAAGAGCTGCATCTGTAGAAGCAGCCTTGTGCAAGCCAAATAACCTGCTTGCAAGCACAGCATCACTTTGTACAAGCTCATGCTGGATCATAAATATAGGTGCTCCTTCAAGACCCTTAGTCTGAGGCTGTGAGACTGTTTATCAATTTCCAATATACTAAAAATATTAAAAAAAAAATCTGTCTGTATCCATGGTGGTTTCCAGTACATCCGGATTGTTCATTTCCTGGGCAGGCAGGTGGGAAAAGGAATGGTACAAAAAGGGAGGAGCTTAGGTTAAATCTGTTTTCCTTGCCTTAGTGTTTGGTGGAGATCAAAATTGCTAAAGGAACAGAGCAGCAATTGAAGAGCCCACAGAGGTTATCTTCTTTGCCAGTTAAACTTCCAAAAGGAAATAAATTCAAAGTAAAAGGAGAAGCAGACACATTAAGAAAAGGGGAAGAGAGGACTAATATTTTCCTCTCCCTTCTTGCAAACAATGAGAATTTCTAATAAAAACACTGAGAATTTCTTTGAGATCTGCTTGTTGCTCCTCAAGGCAGTCAAATAGTATTGAAAAGTTTTTGCCTTCTTCATACTTCACATACCAAAATCCTTTTAACACTATGAAACACCACTTGTACCTAATAATCAAATCCCAAATACCTGCAGTACATTTATGTTTTGCACTTGATTGATTAGCTTCATCTATAACAATCCCTTGCTTCCCTACTTTTAGCCTCTGCCTACTCAAACAATTGTCAGTTCTAAATATAATTTAAATCTGCAGAGTCATAAAGGTACAGCCTACTTCAAGTGGAGATGGAACTAATTTAGCTTCAGACTGTACTTGATATACTTCTTTACTGCTAAAATTACAGAAGGATTTGAGAACATTTCTTTGTTTTTAGGACCACAATACAGATGTATATAGTCAGAAGAGAAAAGACAATGCAAACTTCATTCACTTTTTATCTCTAAAAAAGCACAAATACCCACAGAGAGATAATGAGTTCATCATTATCCTGCAGGAGAGATACAAGTGTCTTGTCAAAAAGAGATACTGGCATGCACAAACCTGTATTTTCCTTGATATATTGCCAAGTCTTTTCTTTTTATCTAAATTTCAAAATATTGAGTGGTGCCCATTTAATTTGCAGCCTGCTATTCCTTGCAGTCATATTCACAGTGTTCCTCTATTAACACAGCACATTTTTTTTTTCTAAAATATTATGTCTGAAGCAGGAAAAGAACTTAGCAGTTTTGACACGCTTCCACATGTTTTGCACACACATACCTGCACAAGGACATAACAACCTGTAAAAACGCTAATAACGTTGTACATATTGTCTCACTTTTATAAAATTCCTGCAATTAGTTATTGAGAAACATAAAGCACTGGCTTGTGTGAAACCTTAAATCAAGGATACAGCACTCCAAAGCACGGTGGTTGGCCAAGCACTGTGGTTTCCGTTAGGTCGGGGATAAAGCCTGGCTTGTATTAGCTTAGAAGGGGAGCCCTCTGCTGGGTAGGACACGGATGCACACGGTCCCCGTGGGCACCGCATCCGCTGTCCCTGGCACTCGCAGCCCTCTGCCTGCTCCAAACCCCGCTCGGCGCTGCTGGCAGTCCAGTCAAGACTCTGACACGATGCAGCTAAGCTCTGACAACTGACAGCATTCCTACACATTTGTTTATTTCCCCAGGACATTACTGACAGGACTGTGGTCTTAGGCTAATGCCTGTATCAACAGGCATTATACCTTTGAGGAGGAATCAAATTCCAGGAGGCACTGGATCAGCCTTTACGTTGCCCTGCTCTAGCTATTATGCCACCACTCTTGTGAATATTTTTTGCAGCCAAAAGCAAAGTTCTGCACTTTGGTGAAGCTACCACGACTTTCACCTCATCCCCAACAAGTGAGCAGTTACATGTAAGGCAGCCTTATTACCTCACTCGTTCTTGCATATGATCCTCTTAGTAATAAAAACTGCTTCTTCAGGCTGCAGCATTTCAGTCTGAGCTGTTACTTACAATGTCACATACAAGCCTGGGAAACAGGAATAAACTGGGATAGACAGCCCAGACAAAGCAGCTCAGCTCTAGTCAGTGCACAGGCTGCTGGAGGCTTTGATTCATTGATACAAGGCAGCTCTTTGCTGTAGCTCCTCTTCTGCTCTTCACCAGCAGTGCTATGAGCTCCACACATCCCCTTGCTCTCTTGTCCAATCCCACTTCCTCTTTGCCTTCCTTAAACAGATATTATTCTCACACACTCCAGCTCCAGAAAGGACTCCTATCTCTCTAAACTCCCCACCAAAAATTACTTCCCAGCTTTCCCTGTGTGGCCTGCTTTCACAGCTACGAGTGTTAAACAGGCCCTGTTGTTCTGAGCACTTACTACACCTACTATGGGCATCCTTGGGATCTTCATCCAGGGCAAGTCGCCTCCACGAAGAAAAACCAGGAGCCTCTAAGATCCTTGATAATTAACTGAAAAACTACCCCAGTCTTCTATACCTACAAATATAGCCTAATATAGCCTATTTTCCACTATTTACCGTTACAAGTCTGTATGATGTGTGAGATTCTGTGAGACCTGAGCAGCACTATTTGCTAAAATGTACGTTACAATTAAGATATTTTCTTCTAATATTACTGTTTTGGATAGCACACTTAGAGGCTGGTACACTGTGCTCTTTAAAGTCTGTGCAGCTGTACATCAAGCTGGGATGCTTAGATGGGATACAAAAATCACCTGCCTTGCCCACCAACACTATCTTTTGTCCTTTTGTACTGACAAACTTTGAGACAAGAACCAGAAAACTGATCTAATTTTTTCCAGCCTTTCTCCTGCAACATTACTTTGTCTTCATCTGCTACACAAAAATCTATGATTCTATTAAAAAGTATTGTTAACTTTAGTATTCTTTGTAGGACTAAGCACTATTTTAATCCACAAACTAGAATCTATAGTTTGCTGATGAACACCATGACAGGCAAAATACCCCAATCCATATGTTCTGCGGTAAGTCAAGTAATGGTCTAGGAGTAATTATTTTATTCATGTTATGACATCCAAGAAGCACCACTCTAGCTAAAAGATGTCCAACTGAAGATGCCTAATTTAAGATACAGATTTTAAAATAGAGTAAGGTCCAGCTGCTTACTTTCTAGTGTTTTCAGGTAACAAGTATATTAGTGGGTGATGTGGAAAGGAAAAAACCCACAGCTGTGCAAAGATCTGCCTGCTATTCAGATCGGTTATCTCGTAACACCACCTTTAATGTATTTATATACTGCATAAGATACCACTAGAACTTCCTGCGCAGCTTGTTTCAGACAGAATGTTCTCATCTTAACAAAAAGAATTAAGAAGGAAGGAAGCCATCACTCCAGCCCGTGTGAAGAGAAGAAACCTGGTAGCACTAGCTTCCCTGTTATCACTTAGTTGCCATGACGTTATTTTCAATAAGTAAACTTCTTTCTGCTTAAGACCTCTCAAATTCTCCACTTGTTAAGTTCTACTTAAGATTGTAATTCTCAAAATACTTACACGATAAAGAAGGTATATTTTATTGGGATTTTCTTTTTATTAGAGTCTATCTAAACAGTCTTTATGGAAAATCAAGCCACTAAAAGCAGTAATCTTAAAGATGACAATTCTGAAAAACACATCTTAGAGTGCTTTTTATAGTTCTATGAGAACAGTAAAAACAGACCACTCCAGATGTTCAGGTGACTGAATGATATTGGTGTGGAAATGGACTCATGATATAATCCTGCAAACTTACAGAACATATTAGTAAGATTCAACTTTGGAAAATTAGTCAAACTCCTTACAGGCCTGAGGGCAAAGACTAGCTAACCAGCACTACAAAGCCTGAAAATTTGTATTTGAGGTTTTTTTTCCAGCATATTTGTGCATGTGTTTTACTAAATGTTCTACTAAAAAACATTCTACTAGACACGACAGACTTAAATGCACAGGGAAGGAGTTCTATTTTTGTAACAGATCACATGAAAAATCCTACGACTGTCAAAGTAAACTACTGCATCATGCTATATTAATTAATGCAGAAGTAATATTAAAAATAATCAGGTCTTCCATTATAATTATTAATGTAGTGTCAAATCATATAAATCTGGTGGATACAATGGCATTTCTTCAAGCACTCTAATGATGCTCTCAAAATTACTAGATTCCTTGTTCTCTTTAGTCGTTCTAACATCAACACCTTTCACTTTTATACTTTCCTCACATGAAGCTACTTGGGCAGATAAGCAACCAAGTGATCTCTTAAATAAAACTTCTAAAGTTCTTGCTTTGAAACTGAAGAAACTGTTGACCCTACCTTTGTAACCTCCCAACCAGCTTCAAGACATATATATTTACACATTCCAACGCATTTGCAAACATGTAACTACAAAAAATGCTATTAGCATCAGACTTTTAGAATCTGTTTTGCTTTTTAGGTCTTGCATCATGTGACAAAGACAATAATTCTTTAACAATTAGCAGCTATTTGCTGATTCTTAGTAAAACAGGACAAATACTGTAAGTCTGGACTCTCCTAGTTGTTACAAAGCATTAGGCAGAAAAATACACAGTAGTTCTGGAAATCTCTGTTAACTACTTCATCAAAATTGAACAAAACTAAATAGCAAGCTGAAAACAGATGTACACAAAATATTAGGGAAAGTTTCCTAACTAACACAACTGGCAAGATCAGAAAAGCCTTTCAAACATAGTATTAGGAACAAAAATTTTAGCCATTTTAAATTAATCTTCATTAGCTGATGAAGAGGATTATACAATGTGCCTACCTGAAATACAGGAAATAAAGTACTTTTCTGCTGTATTCTAGCTCTTCAGAACTTAAGCAACCCTACAAATCCTACTGTCATGAACTTCATTCTGTCCTTTGACTACAGAGGTGGGAAAGGTATAGGATCTCCAATGTTCTATCTGCCCTTTCCTTTGTTAGATTATTCTCTGTTAATAAGCTGTGAAAGGAATTGCTTTCAGCTAATATGTAAAGTTGTCTGCATTAATAATTTCCTTTGCACATAGTTAGCAACTCTGCCTTGCTTCTACTGAATACTTGATTCAAACCCAGGGATTTTGCATAAATTACAGGTGTGTTTACTATTTGTTGACTTAATTAGATGCTAACTTACAGAAGCAATACAAGTAGGAACGAACTTTCCTGGATGGGCTCTTGATATTTTTTACGTTATTTATTGATATTGATAAATACATATTTTGTGTATCTGGATTTAAAAATATGCATGTAAATATGTATGTAAATAATGTCTCCATAGAGTATAGCAAATCTAAGAAAATTTGCCTGGGAGTAAATTGAGAGCTCAATAAAATCCCAAGAATTAGCCTCCCCACCACTGTATGACACGCATTCTACTTGTTTACAGGTCTTAAAAAACTCACAAAATCCAATTTGCTGTTTACTGAAAGAGAACAAAAGTCCTAATGCTGTACAAACTATAGGCACTAAAATGATTTTAATGAAAAATGTTTTATTTCTTATAAAACAAACATTACACACCACTATAAAACACACAACTTCTGCTTAGCTCTGTAATTGTGCACTTTTGTTTTGCATGAAGTTTGATTTAAATAGAAAAAATTGTAATCATTTACTGTCATTAAGTTGAATTTTAATATTTAAGAGAACATATAACTTTTAAAATTAAAAATATTTTTTACCTGGTACGGGCTGTCTCTCGTTCCATTCACTTGTGATTAAAACCTCTAGGATTTTTATGTGGTGTTCTGTATTATCAGAGCTGCAAGAGATAGATTAGGCAGTAAGAACTAGGAGAAATACAAAAGTTTACTTTCAAGTATTAAAACAAAATAGAAAGAATTTACTACAATGCCCTCGCATCAGAGATAAGGTCAGAAAATTATTTAATTTATCTCATTTTGCATATAACTAATTCTTATTTACAGTACAAAATATGGTAAAGATGACCCACATACCTTGCTATCTGGAATCTGAAAAGCAGAGGGCTGAAAATTTCAGCCAGAGACCTTGCATTCAAGAGATTTTTGCTGGAGGCTTGACAAACTCTGAGGAAATGTTTGAGCAAATACTGGAGTGTGAGCCAATACTGAGGAGGTATATTTGGAGATCTGATCAGTTTCTTCAGCAACTGAGCATATTCCTCTGAGCTCTGCACTTCTGCAAGCAAACAGATAAATGATTCTTGAAACCAGCACATAAACATTCAAGTAAAATGAAACTATATGTGGCTCCTTTAGAAACACCAATTTTACAGAAAAAAAAAAATCTGTCCTGCATTAGAAAGATATCTTTCTTCTTTTAAAATATGAGAAACGCTCAGGGAAGAGTAAAGAACAAGTATTTAAAAGTCAAATGGAAACAGATATGCATTTTTGTAAAAAACCACAACGTGTTCAGAGTATACTGGTAGAAGTCTGTCTTGTGTTTAGCGTCACACATGATTGGGTAATTCTGAGATGCACTAGATAAGTCTCACAGGTGCTGTTCTAACTTTGAAGGTTACCAGTAACAATATCCTGTCCTGAGATATATAACAGAATACTTGGCCCATGTGCTGAAAGCTTATAAGCTGTACTTGTTTGAAATGACCACTGTAGATGACGAATCTCACATGCATGTATTTCTCACTTCATAATCTGCAACTCCAATGTAACACAGCACTACATGACCTCTAATACATTTACTTTGTCAGCACTGATAAAAAGTTAAAAATTAGCTTTCTGTATACAGTCCTTGATTTTTTCCCCCAGTTCTTCTATAGTGTTTCTACTTACTCAAATGAACTGTGTTATCCCTTATATTTTACATTATGTTTGCCTAAATAAGTAACCAAATAATGCAGAATAATGTCTAAAACCAGTTTTCTATGAAACAGTTTTCATAAAAAAGGGTAAAGGTATATTTATGGCTTCTTAGGTGCTGCCAGGTTGTGTAGAATTTTTGCTGTTCTGTAACAGCTGAACCACCAGTTATCCAGAATTCTAATAAAAGCCTTTCTGTTTGACATTTGAAATAATGTCATAATCATACCTTGAGATACAGAAATCATGTCACTGTAAACAGCTGCTGGAATGATGGGATTTGGCAGGTCCAGGATATACCTCTTGAGAGCATCTGATAAAGTCTGAACATCAAACGTCTCTAAATCTAATGAAGAGGCATCTAAAGGGAAAGAGCAACATGCTTTTAGGACTTCGGAAAGTGGAAAAAATATACAAGCTCACAACAAGCCAAAATTGCTAAGTTATATATGGTTCATGAAGAACAATTCATAAGAACGTAAGACACCCAGAAACGTGTTTGAGAAGAACAACACACAGAGTTCAACACCATGCCCAGTCCCTTGGCATCTGATGAACCAAATGATTTCCATAACTGTGTGTGGCCTTCTGTTGCTGCATCTTGGCAATGTTATGGAACATCAGAATATTTTTAACAGGTCTCTGTTTTATGTGTAAATATTTTGTGTAAGAAGTAAGTACTAATCAAAGGTTTGGCCAAATGCAGCTTCTATACAGGGAGCTACTTCTATTATGACTAAAAGTTTGATTAACATCTTGGGGATCCAAGTCTGCAAATATTTATGTAAGTAAGTCGAAACAAATATTCATGCGCAGAACAGTGTGCTTGGTGTTTTATGCAGCTGTTGAGATTTATCTTGTAAAACCTGATACCCTTCCAGGATAGTTATGACTTGGGATAAGGTTTGGCAGTGTCACATAAAGAACTACTTGTTAGTGTTGGAGCAAAGAATATCAGCAGCAAAAATTAAAATGAGAAAATACAAAAATTCTTATTTAGCGAAAGCAAGGTTAGGGTTCATCCTATAACATGAAACTCTGGCACAGTAAAGTCCTAAGTGTATACAAAAAGATCCTTATTTTGTACAAGAATTTGGAGGCATGAATGCTGATCAGCCTTCTATCTAGCAAGAGTCTTGGTAAAATAACTATTGAATCTGTTTGTCTAATTTAAACAAAGGGAACAGGGAGGTAGAGGATTCAAATAAATGGTGTGTCTACCAATACTGTGAAATAAGGCAGCCAAGAGGGGGTAATGAGAAACTTAATGCTCCTCCACCTCCTTTGTTTTCCTCAACAAAGAGCTTGCAGTATGAGCTCAAACCTTCTCAGACACCCAAGAATTTGCATGAGTGAAATGGCATAATAAATGTCTTAAATTATATAAAACTTGCAGTGTGGGAATGATTTCTGAAAGATCAATTATGTGTCAGAGAATGCACAAATTCTTAAAGAAATACCTTTCATTAATTTTGCTGCTTACTAGCTGTTTTTTAATTCAAAAGCCAAGTTAAATCATGCATTTTCAGTGTTGACCATTTCTCTGAAGTATGTCCCAAATTACTATAATGAATACATGAGTAAGAATATACTTATTCTGCAACTCTCTGGGTGTAATATCATAAACGGACCTGAACTCTTCCATCTGCTGAGCTGACAAGATGTAAATCAGCTTTGATTTTGGAGCTAGATAGGATTGTGTTAATGCTAACAGACAGTTATCCAATTAAAAAATGGAGAGTATTTAAACCACTAGCAGAACAGCATACTAATGCAAGTTCATAACTTTGAGACCAAAGCTGACTTTGCTCTCTGAATTAGCATTCTGCTAATTCAAAGACAGCAGGCAGAGGAAATAGATCTGCCTCTATCCCTGTACCTGGATACTCACTGCACCAGCTCTGAGCTGAAGATCCTAATCCTATTTTAAAGAGAAGTCAGAGAGAGACATTTTTACTAAAGGGAAAAATTCTACTTCTGTTACTCAAAACTAGCAACATTTTAAGTAGGAATACATGTAAACCATGAGTTTTTAATCTCAAGGGGCAGATAAACCTTTCAAAAATTATAGCTCAGTTTAGAGACTTAAGAAAGGATTCAGATAAATAAAGAAATGTAATCATATTGATGCCCCCAAAAATCTGGATTTATGCAGACTGAAAAACATAAACACAGCACTAAAGAGGTTGCTGCTATCATGAGGCTGCTAGCACCACATGCCTATCTTTTCCCCCTGCTTGTACACTTACAATTCTTCACTCCTAGCACAATCAGCATAGGATAGGATGCTCTTTTATTTTGAAAAAACAGACAACTCAGAGTATAATTAGCTTTGTTAATGTTTGCAATTATTAAAAATGAGGAGACTAAACCACTGAGTGAGTTTGCTTTTTTTGTCCCTTTGGCAACAAGGCACGTAACCATTTCCATTTTCTACCCCTTGTATTTTTGCACTCTTTTAGGCAAATGAAAGCTCACACCACACATTGCATCCCAGCTTGCCAAGTCGTGGTCAAACTCTCCTCCAACTCTCATACTGAAACAGTGCTGCCATGCCAGTATATTCTGTCTTGAAGAAGAAATTAAGTATACCAAAAAAAGAAGAGGAAATATATTTCAGGAAACTTGAACAGGTATGTGGTGTGGTTCCATTTTACTGTCTGAGAACTCAGCCTACAATATTAATTCAATTGTCTTTCTTCAGTATCACTCTGTAGCAGGTAGATAATGGGCTGCTATTGACACCCCACCTACTGGACAAAAAAAACGCACCACAGAACTGTATGTAAACAACTGGCCATTTGTTTACAAAATAATAACCTGCAGCCTTTCAGGACTAATCTATCTTTATCTCGATTTTGACCAAAACATCTCGTTTTTCTCAGTACAGCTAAACTGTCAGTCTTTGAACAAGCCACACAACAAGAGATTAAAATAAACACTCTTAGGAAAAAAAAGTGCAGCTGAGCCATGAAAAAGACAACTTGTAAAAGTGAAAAATACTTTTCATATCAAGAGTAAAAGTTAGAAAACTTTTTTATTTATATATGTCTTTTTAATAGTATATTATTGAGAACCAGCACATATGTGTGAGAGTGGTCTGACCACAAAATCTGTCTAGTGCTTTAAGGAAGAGAACTGTACTTACCACACTCAAAAATTTGTCTTAATTCCACTGCACTGCTTGAGTCTTGTGCTCCATACAAAGTTGAGTACTCCAGCCCTTCAAAACAAAATCAATAGGACGCGTTCAGGACAGCATTAATATTTTGGTGACTGTTGCCCTGATGCAGCATATTTCTGTTTTGTTCAGTAAGTACTTACAGCATAAACTAGCAACATTCTTTCACCTACCACACTACAGAATGTGATTGCTTTTTTAAGGCTGTAAGACACCTCTTTGTGCACTCAAGCTGCTGTGTCTGCAGAAAGAGATGGCCAAAGAAGATCAGAGATGCTGGCATCATATTCTGTAGAATTGTCCACTGGCCAACTACAAAAGGCCAGGACTAGGAAACAGATTCACACTAGTGTCAGAGAAAGTATCTGTATATATCGCATAATGTGATAAAATAATTCACCTGAATTGTTAGAGAAGATATCAGTAAAGTGTTTTCACATAAAAGATATTGTTTACAACTCTTCTACATCAGTGAAAATAGAGAGGACACAAGGAAAGAGACCATATGCAGAGCACTGACGATTTAACTCTATCAGTGGTGTCTCCTGAAAGCAGCAGCTCCTTATGCACACTTGTGCTAAATACTGGCCCTCCACGCTGGTATCAGCAAGCTTCTACTCTTTCAGGAAAGGCTTACAGTCTTTTAAAGTGCCAGAGAAGTATGTTAGAACCCATGAGCCCAATGACAGCAGCCTGATTCTCATCAGAATACCACTTTTGCTCTTGTTCCCCAGCTTAAGGCCTTAAATGAGCAGGACTCACAGAGCTGCTCCTTACCTCACCAGCACTATGAAAGACACATCAGAGGAGATGCCAGGAAGATATAAATAGGGCAAAAGAGGTATGACATTGTAAGAGAAAGAGGAAAGCTTCAAAAGGATGGAGAGACATCAACACAGAAAAGCAGGTGAGGGAAAAAAACCGTAAAAATAACACTGTCTGGCTCATTATACAGCAGCAATAAAGAATTGGCTCCTGAAGAATAAAATCAGTTCTTGAAACCTTTTCATATTTTATTATTTTCTTTTTTCCCCTGCTTTGGGGCAAAACATTACTTTTTTCCCTGTGCCACCAATTCAATGTTATGCTGGTATTTACATAACCAGCTAAAGGTGCTTACTCGTTACAATACCAAACCCTTCTCCCTTACTTTCCAATAATACTTATGTTAATTATTAAATGCCATTTGAGGCAAGCTTTGGTTTTGCTCCTACAGTCCAAATAGCCTGTAATGAGCAAAAACCTTAACAAACGTTAAGGTGATTATTTTGGATGTTAAGTAATGTGATGCATTATCAGTTCTAGAAAGAGGACATGCCAGCTCTGGATCCAGTTCTTCACATAAGCAACAGAATATTTTGGTAGATCATTCTTCAGCCTACCTTTCTTTTCAATTGTCTCTACTATCTTGACAAGAATTGGTGGAGCAACATCAGGAGGTGTGAACTGCTCTGTAAGGTCTGGAAGTGAAAAAGCTGTAAAAAAAAAAAAAAAAAAGAAGAGAAATAAGCCATGCTGCAGATGAATGCAATTACTTTTATGAAAATCATGACATATAATGCAACTAGTTAATTTTTAATCACAGAACAAACGTCCTGGTTGTTAGTGCTGTACGAGGAAACAAGCTCCATACTTAATCAAAAAAATTAATAAAAATTATGACAACTACATTTTTTTATAGCATTTTCTTTCAGGAACCTCAGTTCTAGATTCACTTTCCATATTGTCTAGGAAAAGAAAACACAATAAAAGTTTGCAGTCTATGGATGTGCAGAAATACAATGCAAGTAAGGAAAGAAAAAGTCTTTCTGTCTGAGATATTTACACACACTGTGCACCAAGTGAGGGGGCTATTAAACACATAAATGGCTGTGAGTGACTGATCCCCTGTGTAAAACAGACTTAAAAAGGCCTGAAAGAGCAGTAGAAACAAGTATTTCACACTCATACACAAGCTCAGTAACTTCTGTGCAATTCAATTTTCCAGCATTATACTATTAACAGTATAGTTTACTTGAAGCACAAATTTTCTACATGGACTGGTTAGGAATAAATAGCAGTATAATTGGAAAGGGACACTTTGCAGATTCAAACAAAACTGCACACAGGTTTTATACAAAGTCAGCTTTCATGCAATCTGGTTTCTAAATGGAAAGAACACACTCTTAAAGGTATGTTCTGGCTCTGTGAGTAAAGATCTGTCTCTAAATACACAATTTTCCCCAAAAGAATAATTCAAAAGTTTTAGAGTGGTGCTGTTTAACACCTGGAAACAAAAATGTTTACATAAACTACTGCCAGAACCATCTGGCATAGTTTCATGGATTATGATTGATAAACAAAAAATTAATCTTTGAAGCAAACATTGTCATTTGCCTAAGCAATGGTGATCTCTGCTCAATTAAACTCACCATGGACAGAGAGCAATTCTTGAACATACATACACAAAGGTGCCTATAAAGATATGCATAAATATATATACGCACACCCTCCACCCCTATTTTCAGAAGACTGAAACAAAATGATGATGATAACTAAGCAGAAGGAGAAAAAAACCCACAGAAAATTATGAACAGAGAGTTTTTAACTAAAAACTCCGAGATAACAACAACAACAACAAAAAAAAATCAACAGAGAAAGAATATATATCAACTGAGAAAGAGAGAGCAGACATTTTTGGCTGGTAATTCACCCTGTTTTGAATTACATAACTTCATTAAAATGCAAACAAAATTCATCCCATTGGCATGCAGATGTTCAGCCATCTCCAGGAGAGCAAGGTTTCATCACTGAGTAATGGCAACTTGGGACAGCGAACACCATCACTTTGTGCATCACTCACTTTCCTATTCTTCCCCCAGATTTACTGCTGAGCAGTGCTCTGTGGTATGGAATGTCTCTGTGTCAGTTGTGGTCAGCAGTCCTGGCTCTGTCCCTTCTCAACTTCTTGTGCACTCCCTGCCTCCTCACTTGTGAGGTGGGCTCTGAAGCAGAAAAGGCCTTCACACTCTATAAACCCCACTCAGCAACAACTAAAATATCCCTGTACTATTAGCGCTGTTTCCAGTGTGAATCTGAAATGCAGCCCAAGGATAGCTACTATTAAGAAAATTACTTCTACCCCAGTCAAAACCAACACAAATTTAAAAAACAGGAGGACAGCAAGGAAGGGACAGAAGTTTGGAAGTGTAGAGAGACGAGGAGTGAAATGAAAGACAATAGTAGTAATACAAGTGAAGCATACTGGCAGAAAGAAGGAAAATTATGGTACCATAATGATGGAAATACTTTCCTAACCCATTCATAACTGATGGCATTAGAAAAACATCTGTTAGTCATAACAGTTTAACTTAGGAGGCCTGGAAGATAACCATTCAGGAGTTTAGAAAGAGTTGCCTATGCAGATCTCTGCCCTGCTGATGCTTTTTAGGGACTTGAGGAAAATAAGAACAACTCCCAGAGATCCAAAGAGCTCTAACACCTGATACCATACTCTGCAAGGACAAGTAACATGCCTAATGCTAGTGTCATTATAGGTCCTGGACAAAATAAAGAAAAACCTAAAACCAGGCTCATACAATGCAACAAAACACAGCAGACAGCACTGTAATGAAGGATAATCTGCACAGTTTTTTAAAAGATAGGTTCTTTCCTTAGTGACACCTTTGTGAGCTGAAAAAGGCCAATGAGTAGACATAATAAACTCCAAAATTCTGCCAGATAGTTGATTTAGTATAACACTCCAATTAAGCTAAATTCAATGCAAGCATGTTATATAGGTATATTAAGGTAGAACCAAGCTACTCAGGGAGCAAATGGACTTTTCAACTTTTTCCATCTTCAAATCATTTTCAGATTCCATTTGGAACATCTCTTTTGTATCTGCTTAATGAACACAAGATGGGCTCAAATGGAAAATGCTGCACTCTAAGCAGCCTCTGCTGAGGCATACTGAAATACAGACCAACAGATTTGTAATATTCAAATCAAATAGTTATTTTCAACTCCAAACTATGTATCTATCTTATGATATGGACCAATCTATTGAAATAATAAATGAAAGATTGGAGTGATTTCAAAGGGTATGCTATGAAAATTCTCAGATTGTGAGATACTAGTAGACTCAAGTGAATGTTAAGGGCTTAAAATGGATCCCTTACATGGTACATGTTTTAAGAACAGAGCTTACATAAATTGACCTATGGAAGTAACTTTCTGGTTCCTGAGGGAGCCAGTTACATTTAATTCCTCCCTCTTTCATAACATCAACAAAATTGCATCATCTCTGAACAAAGATGTTAATTTTCTAATTCCAGATGGAGGCAACATGCAGCCACAGCCTAAACTGAAACAGAGGAAAGAGACAAAGAAGGACAAATAGAGACAGAGGATGGAAGTCAAAACTGACAGACAGATGGATCCTATCAAGTGACAGCTTGGTGGTTCAGGGATGGCCCATCTAGGCTATTGAGCAGCACAGTGCTTTCTTCCATTAACCAAATTGTGCTTTGAAATGATGGCAAGACATCAACAAATACCTATCAAGAATATACAGAAATATTAGAAATATACCTATTAAAAAATAATTCTAATTTCCACTGCTGTAGACTTTCTACACAAGGGGCAGAGTCCAAGGAAAGCAAAGAGGAGAACCTAGCCACAGGGGAAGAAGCCCCCTACAAGGTGAAGACAAGACAATACAGAAAACAGTTTGTCTCTGTAGACTTTACCTAAATTACCTAAGCAGAGAGGGCCTCTTCCTTCAGCCCTTTAGCTTAAAACCAGGTTTTTATCATAATCTGTTACAAATATCTTTGTTGTAGAGTATTCATCAATCAGTAATATTCTTACTTATTGAAACCCTTTTGGAAGCTATGCATTTCCCTTTATATTTACACAAAATATGCCTACGCAAACAAAATGCTGCATTGCTTAAAATGTAAAGTTTCCAAAAGTTTTCTGCTAGCATAAAATATGCATTTTAGGAGTTCAGAGGATTTCTGATGTCTCTTCCTTTCTTTATCCCATTCCTTTCCAAAACTGGAAACTTATATAGCCAAAGACATTGCTGAACTTTTAGATATGACATGAGACTTCAAGTGAATGACAATGCCTTCCATAAATACATAGTATGTAAAATTCTTGTGTATTTGACTGAATACTCAGGATATTCATCTCTCTTTTAAGCTCTGCAGCAAAAAGACACAAACAGGTCCAAAATCTGCAGTTATCAGCAACTTCAAAGTTAGAGAAGAAAACATCTAAGTCACATAGTTACAATGCTCAGCAATGTACAAGAAAAACATTCACTTCATCAGCATGCTGAAGACAGCATGAACAAATTAAAATAATTTAACCTCCCACCAGTTCTAGGATTTTCCACTCACTGTGTCACCTTCAATATAATTAGTGCACAACATCATACTGACTTTTGCTTCAAATTTCCCAGCTTTCACACAAAACAGAAAATTAAGTTTGTTTAAAGGCAAAAGGCTTTACAAGACACATGTAGTCAGAAAAAAAAAAAAACCCAAAAAACTCAACAGTACTCAGAGAACTGAAGCCACTTTATTACATTTATAGAGAAGACAGCCTAATGTGGGAATAGTGTGCTTCAGTTTCAAAATGCTGAGGGGAAATCTCAGCAGCCAAACTAAGAAAACTGCACCTAATTTCTGGAATTTTTTTTTTTACTCCAAGAGCCAGAATAGAAATTATAATTAAAGAAGTCCTGATCCTAGATTATGTGTACCAGGAGAAAACGCAGAATGCATGTTAAGATTTGCAGTGGGAAAGGAAGACTTTTTAGATAGGTCAGTTTTAGTAAAAGACAACTGAAAAAAAACTCACATGCAACCTGCATTTAGTACCTGATTTCAAAGTTGACTTTTTCTTTGAAGAATGCTGTAGGGCAGCAAAGATGTTTGAAGAACCATATCCACTCTAAAGGATTTGGGCAAATTTGTAGATGCCTTTGCTAAAATCCTGTATCAGTTTTTCATTAAAAGTAATATTTTTCCCCAAATGCCTCTGTTTTGTTACTTTTTTTTTTCTTCCCTTAATCCCAGGGTCTCCAAAATATAATGGTTCTCAAAACTGATCGTAAGGAAGCTTACTCCAGATTGTAAGGAAGCTTCTGATGACACTTAATAAAAGCTGGGTTTTCCACTAGCTCTATTTTTACCTTGCAACAGTGAGAATCAATGAGATGAACCACAAATCAAGAGTTCTCTCCAACCTGCAAACTCTTCCTTCTCCCTGTTACAGACAGGACTGAACAGCTCTAAGGCAATGGCAATGTGTGGAAGATGAGAGCATACCTTAGATTCAAGGGTTGCCAGCACAGCTACAAAGTGCAAGATGAAACCAGCACACAGCTGCACCTTTTGGAAGGGTTCTCAGTAAAAATATATAGAGTTAGTACCTGGCAATGACAAGTGGAAATTTAAAGCCGCAATTTGGCTTCAGATGATTCTGAGACATATCTATCATAACTGCTAGAAGAAGAATGAAATTTAAAAACATACATAATAAAACCCCTTAAAATGTACAGTATGTACCATAAAAGGGAATTTAATTTCTAAATAATTACAGGAACTATATACTAACTCTACTTGAATTTAATTTTGAATTAAGACTACTCCATGAATGTTCTTATTTTTCCAGAAATGGCATTAAAGTTTGTGCACGCATTTTGCGCTTTTGATGACAATGCAGCTCTATATAAAAGTCTACTATTTGAGAGCTCAGGTCTTAAGATGATCACAATACTTACGGTGCATGCAGATATACTCTTTATGTTAGTGGATACAAATGTATCCACTAGCATAATGATTTTCTATAGCTTTACACAGGTACCTTGTTTGGAAGTCAGACAATAACTCCAGACATGAAAGGTTTTACCAGTAGTTAAATCAGCTATATTAAACATTGGCATATTAATTAATGCAGAAGAAGAAATGCAAAGGTAAGGATCATGGTCAAGCAAGTTGTGATAATGCTCCAACAAGATTAGCCAACAAACTGTAAAGAAATGATGCCTGCTCAAGCACCTAAAGTACTTCTGCCAGCAGCACCATCCATATAATGCATTACCAGCTGTGGACAATGGGGGGTTTCCTACATAGTTCAATACCCATGCTTGCTATTGGAATTTCTGGGAAACACAGGAGCTTACTGTCTTGATTGAAATACTATTATTTCAGCAGTTATGTATTCTACTGTAGGTATGGGAAATGGAATTCAAACAATGTGCCACTGTTATCATCCATCTTCCTTGAAACAGAATCTGGATTTCAATAAGGATTCATACTGTCTGAATTTAACAGCTTATCAGTATACAATGTTGAATTCTAGTGAAGATGCATTGGAAATGAGGGCAGTTTGGCAGTTCTGCAGGCCTTTCAGGCAGTGGTATATATTAAGCTGTCCCATGTACCCCTCCAGGGTGCTGGCTGCTAGTGACTCCCACACCAGAGACAGCAGAGCTTGAGGAGACCGTGCTGGGAACACAGCAAAAGCCATGCCTGCAGAAACACAAATTCAGACCCTGGAAAGCACTAGGAGGTACACCATCATACAGATGATGGCACAACATGAAGCCTTTCCTGGCCCCGTAGTGTCAGCTGGTACAGATGCTGAGCCTGAGCCATCACCACCCCCTCAGCACCTGCTGTAATCAGCTGGAGAAGAAAAGGCCACATGAGCCTCACAAAATGTCTGAGTGAAAGAAGCCTTACTGACAAAGAACTCTTAATTCACAGTGAAAGGGAATTCTGTGATCTACTAAATGTTCCTTTAAAAAGTAGTGATTCCTTGCAAAAAGTTTCTGTACAACAGTATGAAAGGCTAAAAAATCCCTCAACTCTTAACTCTGGAGAAATTTTCCACAGAAATCTGTGCTTTGGATTCAGTGTCAGACCAACACAAAAGATAAGTCTGGTATTGATTAAATAACAAAGAGCAACTCACCCTGAGATTTGAAGAGCTCAAACTTGCCTTGATATTTGCATTTTCAGAAAACCTAATTGCATTTACCAAAAGAACAATGTTCAGAACTGCCCAATTGCCATTAGCAAAAGGTTTTCACTGGGCAAAGATAAAAGACAAAAAGGTGAGAGTGAAGAGAAAGTCAGTGTTACTGTGTGTCTCAAATAAATCAAGGACTGGAACAGATAGCAAATCCAGCTGCAACTGTTGGTAGAGAATATTCCTTAGTCCCTACTGAGATGATTTTGTTTGGCTATAGTTAAATGCTACTTTCAATGGTTGAAATCACCATTTAAAGTGTCAGGAGAAAGAGCTGTTTCTCCAGTACTGGTTTCATTAGAAGATTTTTAAAACACAACACCATTCATGGAAAAATATGAAAGAGACTTAAGCATCCATGAATTTGATACATCATTACAAGCAACTTAATAAGTCTGCCAACTACTACTTGTCTCTTACTTTTGTGAGATGTCATCATTCAGGCAGGGTGCAGACTCAGAATATCACAGAAGCCTTGGCAGTAAAGAAGACTAGATTCAGGAGAACTGAAGACAGGTGAAGAGTATTGCAGCAGTAGAAAAAGAAATGGTCATGCCCACCAACACTATGAGCCTTTGAGCTCAGAAGAAGTCCATTTATTATGGAGGCAAAAAAATGTCTGAGACTCAGGATTTATTGTGACATGAATGACCCCAGTGCTATGAAAAGAAATATGGGAAATGATGCCTGCCGGTGACTTTAAATTACTGGGGTACAACTGCAAAGCAGAATGAAAATACTACCACTTTATAATCCTTGAATATTATGTACCCACGACAGCCTGCTTCTTCCACTGGCTAACAGGTGTTGGGTATGAACTGGAGGACAAAGTGGTAACTTGATTTACATGTTTCCTTTTAACAGAACACTGAAGATTTTAGGCAGGAAATACAGATCTGTACCAAGAATACAGTTTATTAAATCTGCTGTCATTCATCTTTTTTCTCTGTCTTCAGTGATGGAACATCTGAATAAAGCAGAACTGAATAAAGCCTTTCAAGGGCATAAATGGCAACATTTAACCCTCATGGCAAAACAGTATTCCAAGACTTTCAGACTTCAAATATCTTTGTAAAGCATTCATAGTTCTGATGTGATCCTACATCAGTAACACCGAGTGACAACAACTTATCCAAGGGGCTTATTCCAAATGGAAAACAACAGCAGTTCTCACAAGCATGACCTACTGACTCGCCAGTCCCAGTGTACTGCCCAAAACAAAGCCAACATCTCCAGATTCCTCTGTGCAAGATAGGTACTAACACATAACCTATACAGTAGAAAAAGGGACCTCAAACTGACTTTTATAGAGAAATGTACAAAACTTGTCATAATATTATGACACTTAATAGAATAAGGCAGTCATTTTTTCAGAAGGGTAAACACACGTATATTAAGACTGGGCCATTTATAGTCCAACCCACTAAATCTAAAAGGGTTAGAAAAAAACCTGAATGTTACTTTATTTTATCCTAATTACACATAGTACTTCAAAAAGACAAGGTTACCTGCATAAATCAATGTTGTAACTGAGACCTACTTTGCCTAGACGCTTCTCAGGGTTATCAGCACACATGGAAGCAATGCTGTGGTTGATAAAGTATCATGTACATGGTGACTATGCAGGGAATTTTGGGGGCCAGGAGAACTAATTCCTCTCTTCATTCCAGTTTATGAAGCTGCGCCAGCTGCACTCTCGGGGCTAAAAAGGACAAGGGGCGGCTATGTGAAAAGGGGTGAAACAGGCCCTGGTAAATACAGATTACAAGAAAATAATTTGTAAAGAATAGATGGCAGGACTAGGAAGAAAAAAGGTCTGATTAGATATTGAAAGTCTTACTCAATAAGATACCAATTCTCTGAAAGAAATCCAGGATCTTTTTACCCTTCTCTGTCACAAAAATGAATACTTGTCCTAGAGCTGCTGCATTATCAACAAAGAATTCCTCTAAGACAAAGCAAAATTAAAGTAGGGAAAGGAAGAACAAAGAGATTGTGTCTGGCTTGAGGAAAGTTTAGTTGCAGAGATAAGCAGAAAAACAAAACCACAAAGCAACATAGTATAGAGAACTTTATACGTGTGTCCTTTATAACAGTTTAATACTTTCAACAGTGGCTGATAATCATGTTTCACACTTATTAATTTAATATTTCATAAAGCCCCGTTTCTATCATCAGTTGAAAGGGAAGTGATAATGTCTGTACTGGGAAGAAACTCTGTACGTAATATTCTATCAGATTAAACCTCAATAACTTAATGAATTATGAGCTGTCAGACATTTTTCTCATCTGCTACAGAACATACTTCTTAGAAATAGAAGCTATAATTAAGACAACAGATGTTCTTTGTTGGCTTCATCTGAAGCATGGATAATTTTTTAAAAGCAGCCTATAGTTCAGACAGTATTCTGCTTCCCTCTATGGGTGAGCTTTTGCAATACTCTTTTTCCAAAAAGAATTGAATTTAATGGCTGCAACTATTTACAACTATTATTAGCATGATTAGAAAACATGAGCAGTACCATTCTGAGGAAAAAAAAAAACATTAAATAAGTAAAATGTGCTGGCATCAAGTACACTGCATAATGCCATACATAATGCATACATAGTTTTGCCAAAGAAACTCCTTCCCCCAAAAAGCAAGCAAGAGGTGGGAAAATCACTTCCTTATTCAACTCTTTTTTCAAGGATCTGTGAGATAAACAGAAAGAAAAAAAAAAAAGAAATAAGCAAGAATGTACTAAAAGACGTCTTTCTGTTTCTAAGTAGAGGAGGCACTCAAAAAGCTGAGGAGGATAGAGTGTGGGTCAGGATATACTTAGCTGGAGCTGAAAACCAAACAGGCTAGCACTGGAACTCCGACACTGCTGGCTGCCAGGAGAGGCACATCTCACCACCCTCAAGTGGTTTGGAGCATTGGCACAGCTTGAGGCTTCTCATGCTTTTCTCAGGCGTGGCAGACTGGTGAATAATTCCTTCTTACCCTTCACTCTCAGGGATCAACCCAAGCCCTGTGTGACATGCAGGAGCACAGCAGTAGTAGTGTTCTCACATTCCCATGAGCATCACTTTAAATGGAAGGACAGGTTAACATCTCTAAATAGAACAAGCCAGCCAGATTTCAGTGCATGATTCCAATGACAGAGAAAATAAAATTAATAAGCTAACACCTGTTTTTCCTGTCTTGTTGACATCTGCAGGTTCCCTGCCAGCAGTTTTCAGTCAGAGAGATACCAGCAGATGAGAGGTAAGCTCTGATGTACGTACCAAGTTACTGCATCAACACATGCAAGGAGATGATGACAGACAACAGAAAAGAAGGAACAGGACAGGGTCAACTAAATAGCTGAAGCAATAAAGTGCAGAACTGTTTTTTTCATTAAGTGAGGCTTGTTATATTTCCTCCCCTTCCTTCAGGATGGTTGTTCCAGGACTAGAAAAGAACTGAGATCTGCAAGAATTTGAGTAACTCGGCCTGCTTAGTTCTCCTCAGAGACACTAAATGACAATTTCAGCTTCTGACAGTGGTTTGACATGAAACCATACATGCTATCAAGAAGGGAAATATATACCACTGAATGGTCAAGAGTAGTATTGATAGTGCTGGTGAGAGAACAAACAGCACATTCCACCAGCAGCTGCATCTTGTGACTTATTTATCAAGTTCCCAGCGCTTCAATGTTATTGTTGCCATTAAACATCCAGATTTTAGTGGTGGCACATAGAAGTCCTTATTAGAAAAAATTTTGATAGTTCTCAAAACAAAACCTCCCTCACTGGCATTATGATTAACTAAGTATTCCCTTAGAACTGTTGCCAGCTGCCTTCCCACAAACTACCTCATCATTCCCAAGGATATTCATGCCATGATTTCTATTAACTTCTGCACTCTAGGCTTTTTTTTTAACTAAGCAAGAGTGAAAATTCACTAAAAATATAATTTAGTGTAAAGTGACTAGATGTATGCTAATACATCTAGAATGTATTAGCAAAATTTACATGGTACTTTTGCTATTAGTCAAAATTTATGTGGTATTTTTGCTACAGTCACTCCATAAGGAAAGAGCAGCAAAGCTCCCTCTGATGCCTGCCATACCACACAGAGACATTAACAAAACTATATTGTAAGAGCATCAAGACCACCACCAAGGTCAAGCACTCAAAACTTAAGACCACAAAGAACTAAGGCTGCATGTTAAATTTCAGTTCATGCTTTTGTCTCTTTTCATATAATGACACAGAATTTTCTCCATTAAATTACACTGCCCATTTCAGTGCACAAAGACCAGAGCTCTCAAGGGATAAAACTCAGCTGAAGAACTGAGTACTCTAGTATCTGGAATATTATCTAGACTGTACAAGGACACATGGTCATGCAGTAGGCTTATATTCTCCTGTTTATTTTCCTCTTCAAACCTGAATTTTCTATCATCTCCTCTTAGAATGGCTTCCCATGTAAAAGTACTATGGTCCACAATTTGTTCTTGAGTTCTTCCTAGCAAGTGGGAGAGGAAATACGTATTTGGTTTTTCCTGAAAACATTTGACACACAGGAAAGAGGCAGTTGCCTCTCTTTTTAAGGGAAGGAATGCTGAGGTCCACCTCAAAAGGCACTTGAAAATTGTGGTTCTGGCTGACTAGTGGAAAGCCACAGTGACACTATTTCAATGACATCTATCAGATAAAACTGCATAGATAGAGCAAGTTCATGTGCTGAAACCATTTTCATTTAAAAAGTAGTAACATGTATTTTAAAAAGCAGTAACACATCTGGTGCTATCCTACAAGGACTACTAATCTCAATTCCCTTTCCCCATATAAATGGTGACAGTTAGAAACTGCAGTGCTCCAGCAGCATCTGCTCTTTGTAGCCAGGACAGGTCATGAAGGTGGATGAACCTTCACTGTGAGATACCTTGGTCGCTGCAACACTGTTGAGAATGACCTGTCCTATCTCTGAAGGATCCTTATTCCTTACTGCTGCGTCCTTTTTACCAGTAACAAAGTTTCTTATGCAGGGCAAACACTGGTTTGTGATAGTATCTCTGCTTGAGAAGAACAGAATTTAAAGCATTCACTTTTTATTCAATAACCATAATACATAAAAATTCAGGGCAGTATGTTGTTTTGCTCTGAAAGAATGCTTTGTTTTGTTACCTTTTTGCTGTGGAGAAACTAATGGGAGAAGAATGACAACAAATCCCTGTCAAACTATCCACAGACAAAAAAATCTAGAAGAAAAGAATAGGCTCTTCACAGCTGCAAGAAAAGATAATGCATATTACTATGCTTGAGAAGTCAAGTTGTTTAGATCTGGAAGATTTACATAAAAGAACTGGCAGAAGCTGCTGGCAGATAAAAGTCAACACTACTCCTTCATCTTTTGGGAATTGTGGGAAACATTTGTAAGTACACAGAAAGTTAAAAATAATGAGTGTACAGCAGTCACCCAGAAAAAAAAATGCAAACAATGGCAACAGCTCTCCAGCACCACGACTTTTATTCAAAAATTGAATGTGTTTCCAATCAAATCAAACATGTTTCCTCCTCTGAAAAAAAAAAAAAAAAAAGAAAAAACGAAAAGCTTAGAGCCGTAGCTGTAGCAACAGAATACAGCAATACTGAAAGGCAGACTTTTAAGGAAGTAAAACTGGGTTAATCCTTACAGCCATTAAACCATTGGGTGATCTGACATAGTTACAGAAACAACATTATTAGGAAAATCCTGGACTGAATCTATAGAGAGGTAATCCCACCATCCTCTTTACCTTCAGATGAAGAAGAAAACTCTAAGTCTATATGTAATAAGATTTTTTGACCCATATCATACTCCTGTGGAGATTTCTCTGCATAGCAGTATCAGTGTTATTTTCTTATTCCAATATATTTCATACTACCAAGATCCTAAACAAAAAAGATGTCATATAATATCAAGTACATGTACTTAATGCATGAACCTAAAGATCTCTCTTCCATTAATCATTGTTTGTTCACACTTCTCTTCTGAGGTAGCTTTAATTCAGACCTTAGCACTTAGGGAGACAAATGAATTTCATGAACCTTTACAAAGCTGTCAGGGCTCCAACTGGTTAACTAACTCTAACTGGCAAAAAACCTTCATTTGTGTACTGACCATCACACTGTGCTGTGAAATTCACATAGTGTAAAACCTGTTTATAGAAAGTGTACAAGAAAATTGACAATGACAACAAAGATGGTGCTCATGAAAAACTGGCTGTTTTTACATCACCATCTGCAAGCCAAGGATTAACTGAAGTCAGGGTAAGAAGGTATGGAATAGGATTTCAGTCTGCAGTGGGAGCATTCATTTGCAAAGAGACCAAAAACAAGAGACAAAGCCTCTCTAAGAAAACCCAAACACTTCAAATCCAAGAAATCCTTTTCTAACCTTACAGTGTTAGAGTGCCTTGTGGTTTAAAACAAAAAAAAAAGTCTCTCTCTTGAAAACCAGTGGTAGAAGAGTGAGACTGAACAGAATAGGATGAAATAACTGAAAGAAAGATTTTGTAAGTGATCTTGGAAGGTGTAAGCTACAGAAGGGCAAAAATAGAAAAACATAAATCTGGCTAAGAACTGACAACATGTTCCTAATGATGTTTAGCTCAGGTGAATCAAATAAAAGCAGCTCTTTCATGGAATAAATGAGGAGGCAGAAGCTCTTTTTAGGTCCTCTACAAAGACCCAAGAGATGAGCAAGAAGCATTTTTGATCCATTGCTTCCATTCCTTACTTCTGCTACTCAGCAGATGCCCTACACTGACCTACTCCAGCACAGTGGAATGTGCTGTAGACATTCTCCAACTTTCTTGTAGAAAATTAATGGGTAACAGGATCAATGCGATCTCTGAACTTAGAGGACTACTAAGTGTATACATGAGAATGACAAGAAAAACTAATGTCTTGAATATTTAAGTACTGCTCATGTACCACTCCTCTAGAGGTCACACACATAAAACATACAAATCAGTTTTTCCACCATCCTGTGCCTGCCAGGAAAGTTAGCTGGTCTTCTAACCCATCCATATCTGAAAATACAGTGGCATTATCTATCTATATATTTATCTCCATTTCCACATACGTACAGAGCTTAAAGCAAAAATCACTCAATTGACTTGGAATGTTGCTTATAGGATGCAATAAAGGAGTAAAAATACATTCCTGACTTGAGCAAGATGTGATCAAACATGTGAAAAGGCCTTCTAGCTATGACTCACTAAGAAATGGGTGGGGGATTGAGAGGCTGAAAGGCTGCTGGCTTACTGGAGTAAGCCTTCTTCCACACTGGCCAGCAAGGACTGAGAACTGTCTATTCTGTCAAAATGCCAGGTATATATTGCTTGTTTTCCTGCTACCCTACCGGGTGTGGGGGCTGGGGGAAAGAGAGAGAGAGAGAGAGAGCAAGAGAGGAAAGAAAGGAAGTCTTACATTTATGGTCTTTCTATTATTGTGCTCCAGAGGAATCCCTTGGTCATCTTGCCAGAAGAAAGAACCAGTTACCTTTATTTGGCCTTAGCAGAAGGGAACACCTTTTCCTCATTTTGTTTGCCTTTTCAAATCTATCTATCTATCTATCTATCTATCTATCTATCTATCTATCTATCTATCTATCTATCTATTGGCTATGCCAGAAGGAAAAAGGGTATCTCACTTGACTTCCAGAAGGAAAATAATTCCAAAAGAACCAGCTCCCTGCTGAAACAGGAAAAAGAGGAACACATTAATTGTAAACTGACCTGATTTTTCTAAAATGCATATGACTCCTTGTTTTTAAGCACTGTTCATATGAACTGCCTGCATGAAGCTGGAAAAACTTGTCTCCTAAACAGTTCACATGTGGCAACTTCAGAGAACTTTACTGAGGATTTTACAATATAAAGCTCCTCAAAAATGGCAGCAGACAGCTGGTCTAACTCATCTAAACTCTGCTATGCCACCCCCATGGACCTTTTTATTGCAGGACCTATTACCTCTCAAAGGATTGTAGTCTTTCACGGTAAATGTGCCACTTGTAGTCCCTAAAATAATTTAGATGTATCAGTATGAGCAATCATCTAAACTCTGGCCTTTTTTAAAGGGAAATTCCCTTTTATTTTTGCTTTTTTGGTGGTTTGGGTTTTTTTCAAATAGCATATTTCTTGATCTCTCAGGGGAGCCAGCCCTTCTGCTTCTCTTTTTCTTGTTTCAGTACATCAGTCTGCTTTTCACCTGTCAGCTTCCCATACTTCAAACCTTGCTCTCAAACTGAGAAGTAAGTCTTAGGAGACAGAGCAAGGTGGCTGGTTATTCTATAATGGCATTCAGGTAGGAGTGAGCAATACAAAAAACCAAGTCAAAATGCTACCCTGTGTTGCCTTAGGTTGAGGAGCAAGACATCAAGAAAGTCCAAGGCCACAGGTGTAGACTTCTCTAGCTACACATACTCAACTTGCTCGTCTGCTGATTACAAAACATTGCAGGATAGTTTCGTTCCAAACTTGAATGCATAAAGACTGGGTTGGGAGCTTATTTTATTTTTTCCCCAGAATAGCTACAAATTACATATCGCAAAATTAAATGCAGAAATTTAACATCTACTGGGAGTCAACAGCGGAGTTTTGAGTCATGCTAATAAAGAGAAGAACAAAGTTTCATAGCCTATTATAGTGGCCACTTATGTCACAGCCTGACAGTGCTCTGTAAATATCCTAGACAAACTGTGATTTTTTTTTTTTTTAATTTGAGTCAGAAAATAAGCATGGATTAAAGATTTCTGACAAGCTGCAAATAGGTAACCAAATAATACTTAGCATGATAGAAAACACAGTATTTTCCAGAACATTAACTTCATACTGAAATAAGAGAATTTTATGTTTTTACTTCTGCATGGCTATCAACTTGAGTCCAACAGAACAAATTGGAACCATATTCAAATCTACTTTTTCCTGCCGGCTTTATAGCTTCCCCACGCTTTCTGCACATTACACATTGCACATTGCACATTCCCTCTCTTTTGCTCTCAGCATTTGGACTCTCTCCTTCAGGCATTCTGTAATCCTGCCAGCCAAAGAGCTTTGCTTTTAGTGAGTAGATCTGCCAACTTAAACACCAGTCTCCTAAGGCAATCAAATAATGAAACACACATGTATGTACTTGCACATAATCTGTCAAATACCTCTCTAGCCCACTACAAATGATTTTTGCAATCTGGGGTTTTCAGAGGAGCATGCTTACATACATAGTTTTCAAAGATCAAATGCCATGGCTCTCCAGAGTTCTCTCTCTTGTTTGTACACTCAAACCCAATGACCCTGCAATTTCCATATTAACATCTAAAGATATGAAAAATGAAAAACTTAAAAACAAAAAGGTCTTTGTGCAGAAAACTTCATATGGAGTAAGAGCAGAAAACTTCATATGGAGTAAGTATATCCTTCAATTTCTCCAATTTGGCAGAAGTCTCCTGCAAGACAGCACAGATTCCTCCATGGCAGAACACTCTTTCCACGTTTCTAGTGTGTCTGGAAAGTTAATGAATAACCATTCCAGGTGTCAAGAGTATTTTTCATACCTCCCTCATTACTCATCTGTCATCCACACTTGATGTCTTGACTTCCACTTTCTAAACTAGTGTTTCCTGAAAGAGGAATCTAATCTATGATGCTAGCAACAGAGTAGCCCAGGAAAAGCTTTGAACTTTGTCATACTAGGATAAAATTGCGCTGCCACGCCTCTTGATTAATTAAGGTTGCAGCTTACTACATGGCAAGATAAAGACGGGAGCAAAAGCATCTTTCAAGGAAGCAAGTTATTGATTAGTATTACAAGAGCAAAGATCTAGCTCCCAGAATGGTAATTTACTATGTAATGTCACCATTCACAGAATATTCCTGTATTGTGAATCACAACTATGATACAACAACATCTCAAAACTAATAGAGGTGCACCATAAAAACCTAAAGTAAGAGGTGCTTAAAACATGTGTCACTGAAATATTCTATTGCAAGGCATGTCTAACAGGAACAACAAAGTACTGAGAATTTGAAATTCTGGATTTGCAAAGTCATGGAACAAATAAGCTAACACTAAATTATGTTACCATATATGTTGAATCTGTGCATTCACGTTCTAGTAATTATTTTGATTTTGATGCTTATATTTGGATTCCAGCTGGCGCAGGAAGAGGCATGCCAGGAAGATTTGTTCTGCAAGGAATTGTTTTGGACATCCAGTACATAGTAACTGAAGCCAGACACGGAGTGAGAATATGGTACTCACTCACTCCTTGTGACAAATAAAGATTTGCTGAGTTAAACCTAATCCATTTCTGGTTCCTGGGTTTATTTATCTCAGTGAAGTGTAACTGCTAAGGTTCTCATATGTTAAGGGTTTTTAAGAGTTACTTCCTAGGTTCACATTTTTGAAGTGAAATGTACATGGCATGAAGAGATTAACCTTAGACTATCTTGAAGCAGTAGGTTTGTTTGTTTGGTTGTTTTTTTAATTGTCTGTTTTGTTTACCTTATTCCTTACAGGAACGATGACAGCACCTTTGCTCACAAAAGTGTCCTAAAGATGATTTAGTACGTGTCATTATGAAGTTCTGTGAAACACTAATTAGTCATGTCATTGGAAAGAGCACAAGTATCAATGAAAAAACCTGTTTCCAGAGAGAAGGTTGAAGGCTGTGAAGAACAGGTGGCTTAACACTATGAACTGATCAACCTGAATGAAGCAATTTTAATTCAATGAAGACCTCGGAAAAAAGAAAGCAAGAATAAATGGGGGAAAGGGTGCGACAACTATATCAATTAAAAAAATTGTATCAGATGGTATACACTGAAAGAAGCTGTACTTTTATGTATAAACACAAGATTTAGATGCAGTTTTGAAACCCTAATGTTCTCCTACTGTAGTGTGCAGCTCTGTGTCCATACACACATACATCAAGGTGATAAAACTCTGTATTTATTCTAAGTATAATAATTAGTTACAGTAAAAGAATTTATAAATAAAACTGTCACCATATCACTTCCTCAATTATAAGAAACCCTATTACTATCACATTATTACCCAAACAGGCAGCCCTAAGGAAAACATCAGCCCTGCCAAAGTATCTATCACCCTAGAGCAAATTCTTAACATGTATCAGTGAGGAGTTCTGAATATATAGAAAGAAAATAACCTGGTCAAAGCAGTTTCTATACTGTCATCACCAAATACAATTAAATTTATGTAGTTTCCTAAATGAAAACATTTTACTACTAAATTCACAATTCTTATAATGTGCTGCATATTAAAGGGATAAAAAGTTAAGTAATCTACACTAAATATGTACAAAGGAAGCAGTTTGGACTATTTAGTAACAGGTTTTAAATTCATCTAGAAGTTAGGAGCCTCGAGCAGGAATAACAGGGCGAAATTACATGCCCTACATTAGTCGAGGACCTCAGAAGAGACGCTCACAACAAGTCCCTTACTTGTTTTCAAAATTTATGAAAGGACAGCCAGACTCTGCTCTTTACACCAGTGTTTATAGTGTAGTATTTCATGCACATTCATATTCTATGAATCTGGTATACTGGAATCTCTTCCAAAAAGAGATAAGATTTGAGCTCCAAACACTAAAAGTATTGTGAATTTTGCAAAAAAGAACTAAGACTAAGAACTATGCGATTTTTCCCAATGCTGCTAAATCTTGACTATAGGTCTGATCTTGTTCCTTCTGAAGTCGAGATGGGTTTTGCCACAAATTTAAGAGAAAGTAGAATAGTAACTTATGGCTTTATGTATGAACAAGTTCTTGAAGTAAAGGAAAAAAACCCTCAATCATGTATAGTATTTTCAAGAACATCAGTACTTTACAATAATTTTATTTTTAGTTTTCATCCAAAAGGATTTTGAAGAAAGGATTTTACTACTCTATTTAGAACAGAGCAGCTCACATTCACAAGCATGGGCATGTTCCATCCAAACTACTAGACATTTTACCACCGTATTTGATTGACTGGCTATTTAGTTCAAATAGACATTGAGAATTAAAAAAAAAACCCACACAAAACCCCCCCAACAAAACAACCATACTAATCTAATTGGCATGTTCTTACTGTGTCATAATAATACTCTACATATTTGTCTTAGAGGAAACATCTGGAGAAAAAGCATAACAGTTGGTAACTGTCTTCCCCTTTTTTGCTAAACTGTTCATGCAACTCAAAGTCCTGCATTCTAAATCACTCTGGAAGGCAGCAGCAGCCCACTAGCGCCTTCAGTGAAGGTTTTAGTATCAAAAATAGATGAGACTTTCAATTTGCTAAGAAGCAAGATTTAATGCTAGGTGCTCTGTAGTAAACATTGTTCAACCAGTGGGTTAATATTATTCCCAAATCCTGACAATAATGAGATTGTGAAAATCTCTTATTTCATGTAGGGGACTGCAGTTTACACAGGCTACCAGAAAGTTTTTAGAATTGTAAGCACTAAGTTTGATCCAAGAAGTAGTCAGAAAAACATGGAAGTTGCAGGGAACACTAATTTCTCAACCAACAGTAATTAATTATAAATACAGCAAAGAGAATTCAAACATTCCTCACTCTGTGCCCTTAAGAAGCCCTCATTCAATGAACAGAGGTCCTATTTTCGGTTATTTCAGAAAAAATTTTTGCTACTTGCTGTTTAGAATTTGTTCCTTAAAATTCTATCACTTGCCCAGGCCAGATTACGAGGATGACTACAAAAATTTTTATGGCTAGAACTGCCTTGCACTGGAGCAAAAAAGGCTCCCTCAATCTTCTTATTAAGAAAATTACTTATTTGGGCTACTGACTTATTTAGGCTATACTCCTCTGGCTTCAGAACAATTGAGTAGATTTGGACTAGCCAGAATATATTCTTAATTGTACTTAAACATCTGCACAGATTTTACTCCAAAGTACCTAAAACAAGCCTTCACAGAATACCCATATACAAAGCAGGAAATGATGGAGGGTTTTGCCACAGTCTCTGTTGCTCCTCACCTGTGCCAAGCAGCTGTGTCCTGGCAAGGAGACAATTCAAGGGTAAGGTTGAAAACACAAGAGATGTTTTCCTGCTCCCTGCATCCAAGCGCAGCACATGAAAAGTTGCAGTGAAATTTTCCTGAAAAAATAGCACCAGAGGACTGGAATTTGTGCTCACAGTGTCGAACACCATGTGCTAATATGAAAAAGACTGAAAATTTTTCCCCTTAACGGCTTATTTCTGGAATGTTCCTGGATAGAGAGATAATGAAACCACATACAGCTGTGCAGCCTTATCTACTATGATGCATAATTAGTGGTTTCTTTCATTAATTCCCTAATTTAAGTGCCTTCATCTACCTCCAGCAAAAAAGAGCTGAGCAAGAGGACTGGGAAATAAAAAAGTAACCTCACAAACTAAGAGGCTTCTCCTTGAGAGAGACAGCTGGAGAAGTTGTAACGTGCTTTGAAACATTGATTTGCAGTGTACCATTCAAAAGTTTCTTTGCCAAGAATAGTCCTCCATGCTTATCTGCTTATCTACCAATGTTACCCAAGCAGGATGAAGAGATCTTGGAAAAATAGGTGACAGCATTGAAGTTTTCTCTCTCCTGACCCCAACAAATAAATTCCACTGTTATATCTGTAAACAAGACATACAAACCTGGTGCAGCCATGCCTTCTGCTAGGTTGTCGTTGTAACTCTATCCCAGCACAAATCAGCTCAGAGGTGCATTCCCTATCAAGACTACAGATCTCAGGTTGCAATAAGCTTCCTTTCTTCCCAGGTGGCGAGCAGGAGGCTATGGAACTGGAGTGTTCAAACATGATGCTTTCAACAAATACAACTCCAGAGAGGAGAAAGAGCAAGGTAGAGACCACTTGAATTAAATGTTCTAGAGTGAAATAATTTGGCTTTTTGCCACTGCCTTTACAACCTAAGATGCGCATGTGTTTTACAGGAAAGCATCAAAATGTTCAAGGAAAGTAGAGCTTAACTTTGTTTTTCTAAAACACAGACACTAAAAAGAAAAAAAAAAAGGCAAAAAACCCACAGAGAAAAATCAACCCCATCTATTTTACTGGAAAGATACAATTGCTGCGCAGTAAATGGACTCAAAGTAACTGCCATTCCTGCAAGAGGTCTCCCTTCTGCAGGAGCATCTTCCTGTCCCAGATGCCACCAAGTGATTTGCCAGCAGAGATGGAGACTGGCATGTTTAGACCTACCAAAGGCAAATCTCACTTCTTGCTCTCAACATCCACAACCTCCAGTGAAGAAATTATCTCAGATACTGACCTCTGGGAAATGTTCTAGCATAGCAAATGATGAGGAGCACATACAAACATTAGTGGATTGAATGAGAAAATTGTCTGACAGCTAACTAAATTGTAAAATTTTTCATTATTCATGTCATAGTTTACATAGTAGTTTTGAAGTAGAAGATAGTCTCAAAAGACATTTTTGAAGTGTAGAAACCATATGCAATCACATCTTTCCCTGGATCAAGGCAGTAGTGAGTTTTTGAAAATCTGCCTTGTGAATCTTGTTACCTGAAAAGCCATCAGCTTAAATATAATTTTTTAATGCTGTTTTACAGACAAACTATTTGATAAAGTGGGTCAACATGTGAAAATAAGGAAAAAAATTTAGGTGCTACCCTTGTGGACTGCAGCATACAGCATTCATAAAAGACTGAACAAAAAGCAGTCTCATTAGCACAAAAGGTTACACCTGCTAACACTTTAAGAAAAGATTTCAGGCAATGTGCAAGGGTGCAGGCATTTCTACAAGACAGTAGAAAAAAGAAAACAAACAAAAACCAAAACCCTAACAAAAAATTCTACACAAGCACCTTCTCTGAATGAAACCATCATAAAATAGAATTGCATTTTAGTCAAGTATTTTGAAGAAGACATGAACAAAAGTTAGCAACTATTAACCAACTATTTTTTTTTAAGCCAGAAATTCTCTTTAAGTTCTCTCAAGCACTTAGATTCTTACCAAAGTATTCTCAGGACTTAATACCCTTCTCCAGTTAAAATAACCATGTCTTTAATATTGTGTAACTCCCTTTGTCATTCTTAGCTATGAAAATAAAGAAGTTCTTTGTATTCCAGACTTCAGATTGATTTCATGGATGTTCATCATGGAGAGTGGCTTTGGTAAGACGCAGATGTGAAACAGTGCACAGCCAGCTGCAGTTACAGACTTGTGTTCTTTCACACAAGAAAATCTGGATGCATATATGGCATCACACAACTATTTAAGTGGGCACGGTTATTTGCTCAGGGTGCTGAATGATCCATTCTTGGCAAACACTTGGTACCATGTATTGCTAAAACTCACAAACTGACGTTATCACATGCAAGCCTAAGTAAGAACTATTTGCTAACCAGTGAAGGTTTTTTCAGATGTTCCTGGATCACAGCTACAGGACAAAGATGATTCCAATAAGAGTGTAGGCCAATTCACCTTTGCCATGCTTTACATCTGCCCCAGCTTTCATGTCAGCACAAGGTATTAGCAGACTAAATCAGTATAACAGAAGGCTAAGAAAATGTAAGCAAAGTCACTCAACATAGTGACGCCTTTGTAATCACAGAAAGGCATATTAAAATAAGTATGACACAAAACAGACAAATATTTGTTACAGCAGCTAAACAGGAGTGTCTTATTATTTCAGCTTCTTAATGCAAAAATGTGTAAAATAATGTGTTAGATTAATTAGACTGATACAGTCAGGGAAAAAAAATTCATTTCAGTCACACAAGCCTTTTCAGTCTAAGATCGGCCTTGAGGATTAAAAGGGGGTTCTGTGTACTCCAAGCGATATATTTTTCACAGGAATATCTATTTTTCAATTCAAGAATAATTTTAAAAAGCTCTCTCTCTCACTTTAATTTTTATCCTGTGAGGATTAAAATGCAACATGGAAGACAGTGTGTTTGAAGGTCCTTCCTCCCTCTTGCTTCCTTCCTCCTGTTGTACCAGCAGGTGGGGCCACGCATCAACCATGAACTTGCCCAGGCCCTCTCTCCACGTGCAGTTTGTACTCGGACTTGCAAAGCCTATCCCTGCGCTTCCTCTGGTGCTTACAAAGGCTTTTAAAGTTATTATCAACCCTGATATTATCGCTGTGAAAAAAAAAAATGTTCTATCTCACTTCAGTGGAGCTTGCAAAAATCTTTGCCATCATCAGTGATAAAGCAGTTGGCCAGGACTCTGTTTTCAGATGCATGCACTT